TCAGTTAGAACTAATTTCATAAATTTTATAAGAGACTCAGTTGCAGTCTCTGGTATGTTGAACCTAATTCGAAAGTTTATTATCCATAATAAAATCCATGCAAATTGATCATCAATTGTTACTTCCTCTTTTTCATCTTGATATGATTCATATTTCAGCGGAGAATAATCTTCAAAAATTTCAGAAATAAGTAAATCATCCAATTCACTTTTGTCTTCACTTATAGGAGATTCGATATGTCGTCTTTCGTTATGTTCATAATTATTGCTTAAAGAAGACTCGGTATGTTGTTCATCTTCAGAGTCACTCAAATCGTCAGTAACTTACAGATGACTTATATATCTTCTTGTATGCCTTCGAGGTAAATTCGATAATTTAGGATGATGATCAGTTATTTTGATTCTTGAAGCTTGTGATTCATCGTCAATCATTTCACTCCTCGAAGCCTGTATCTCTTTTCATTCTTCTTTGGAAAACAACAATTCAGTAGCTATATCAATATCGTTGACTATAAATGAGTGCAAATAAGTTTCGTGTGTCAATTTTCATGCATACTCATAAATCACTTTTTCGACAACACGACCAGAGGACTCGAGAGTCTACATCTTTGTCAGGTCTAGTTTATGATATACAATATCAAAGTTGGTAGGGTTATACTCTTGTGCATCTTCAATCACGTTATCGTCAAAATCATTTGATTCGGTGGATTGTCTTTTCGGCTGAATCAAAAATTCGTAAAAAAAAAGGTTATGAAAAATATCATTGTAAACTAAATATTACATAATATTGCTCACCCTTTTAGACTCTTCTTTATTCGGAGGAGGTGGTGTTCTTGCTCCCTCTGGTATTTTTTATCCTGTTGATGCTGTTTCTGAATTAAGAGATTCAGGAGGTCGTTTACTCGGTATGACTGATGTCGACTCTAACATAACGTTACTTAAGTTCTCTACTGCAGCACCAGTTAAAGCAGATGAGAATCTTGTGACATTATCAATCTGACGAAGGAGGTAATTTAAACTATGACAAATAATACCATAATATTTGATTGAAAATGGACAATAATCAAATTCATGAACTAACCTGTTCGCAATTTAATTTCGTACGCGTCAATTGCTCAAGATTCTTATATCCAGAATTGCGTTTACTCTTTATAAGAAAAATAAGATTAATATATCATACATAATGAATATATAATAAATTTAATCCTTCCTAAGTACGCATATTGACATCGTGACAAAGCCATACATCCAAACAGGCATTCGGAGGATCAGCAAACAGTTGATTTCTCTTAGCATTGGCCTTTGTTGCCATACCTCCAAGAAGGCATTCGGAGGACCAGCAAACAGTTGGTTTCTCCTAGTATGGACAACAGTTCACAACACCGACTCACAAAAGTATAAAATAGGATTCACCGACTACCATAATAATATACTTGCCTTGTTTGCTAGAAGTTGCCTGATTCTTCACGTCATCTTCATAATCGTTAATAAGAGAACGTAAACTTTATGTGACAACGTCATTTGCCTTTTGATAGCGTAGTTTTTTTGGATCATCTTTATTCTGACGTATCCATTCTTCATGAAACCCATAGATACTCCAAGTACTAGCATCATTTTCATCGAAATACCTATGCCATTCAGAACTTGTCATCTCGAAACAATATTCTGCGAATAGATCACGTTTTTGTACTTGATAGAGAAAATGCAGGCTGTGTGATCTGTAGGTGTAACCTTCACTCCCTCGAGGAATGATCAGGGTTACACAAATTTTTTGATCACGAATTTTCTTACAATACAGATGTGAGTGATGATCACATTCTTCACAAACCTTACATTCATGTTCCCATTCCTTAAATCCGGCCTTTCTGCTTTTCTGCTTCTTATAAGCTTTATTATAAACATCTATCTATCCATTCTTTCTTTGATATCAAATATTGTTTAAATTTTCTATAAATATTATGGTTTATTATGGTTAAACTATTACTTTATCTTTCAAAAAAAATAAACCGTATAGATTTTGTTAATATCCACTTTATTTGTAATTAAAAATTCAGCAAATAATATATAGCTCGAGACAAACATATCGATATCATATATATGGAAATTATTTATGTATGCATGCATGTCGATCAATTTTTTATACAAATTATGTTGAATTAAAAAAAGGTTTTACTTTCTTCATTTATTGCTTTCTTGGAATTTATTTTTAATATTATTAAATTAATGAAGTAAAAAAATGTGTTGAGCAAATTTCATATTATGAATTTCTGCGTCAATTTGCTAATTAAA